TTTCATTATAATGCGAATTTACGCTTTTGAAATTCATGATGACGTAGGTGAAAACCAAGAATATATTAGAATTGGATGTCGATATTTAAATAAACATAAAACAATTCAATCCAGACTCCAAGAAAAACTCCAAACAGATAATAATTAATTTAATTGTGGTATATTTAAGAACAGGCTTTTTACATCTTTACATTCTTTGTAAACTCCTTGAATGTTCTCACAGGCTTGATAATATTTGATTATTTTTTTGCATGCGCTTTTAATTGAAACCCATGAGGGACTGTTCATTAATTATGCCTCAGGGGGGGGGGGGGGGCTGGAGGAAAAATCGAAAGAAACCTTGGAAGAATTCACAACCCCCCCAATTCTATCTAAAGAAAATTTTTTTGACCCCCCCTCCTTGTGACCTTTTAGACATACCTTACCTAAGTCAGCAAATACTATTAAAGCCCCCCCTTTGTTGTGTGATTTTTTTTCAAAGCCCTCCTACTTTTCCTCCAGCCCCCCCCCCTCCCAAGGCATAATTAATGAACAGTCCCTAAGATTTGATTGTCAGTCATTGAAGAGTCTTCTCAAAGTATTGTTGCTTTCCCATGATCGAGGATAGCTTTAGAAGGACATATATGTATGTACAATAACCAACACTAATACTATTCAAGATTGGTCTTCTTGTAGTAGTGAGTCCAGTTCTTTACTGCGTTTTTGGTCAATAACTTCTAGTTCTCTGATTTTCTGGCGGAAGAAGCAAAGTTTTTTCATTATTTCATATTGTAGTAAATGATAAAATATATATATCAAACTCATTAATAATTCATGAGGAAAACACAACAGAAATCACGACCGTGAAGAGTGTTGTAAATCTACTACCACCCCAACTTGGGTAGGGGTGTGCCGCCAGGACCTCAAAACCCTGACCCTATCCCAGACCTAAAATTTTTATTTTACATACCCTACCCCAGACTAAAACTAAGAATTGTACACCTTATCCAAGACTAAAAGATGGAAAATACGGTTTTACCATCGATTGCAATCAACATTTACTAACATTTTTATCGTTTTTGTGTCGGCAGAAAGCGCAGCCTATTCGCCAGACAAAAACGACCAAATCGTTAACCCTATTCCAGACTAAAATGACACCCTATCCCAGACAAAATGTCAAAAAATGATACCCTACCCCAGACCCAAAAGCCGAAAAACCATACCCTATAGGGCGGCACATACCCGTATAGCAAATATAGGGGAGTACCCCCCCCGGGTGTAAATCTGATACAAAACTGTGTTCATTTGCATAAACTTTAAGTTGGATTTTCTTGGCCAAATTCACTTTAATTTTTCAAAATTTTAGTGAAACAACAAAGGAACTAACCTAGACGTTTGATAAGTCATATACAGTATTCGTGTCCATGTTGTATCAGATATACAATCACTCGGCTACGCCTCGTGGTTGTATATTTGATGCAACACGGCCACTCAGACTGTATATATTACATAATAAATAAAAACTGGTTTGCAAATATTTCCAAGACAGTCTGAAGACAAAGATCTGGCCGACATGTTACTGATATGAACGATGAAAGCTAATTAGAAACCTTTTTTTAAATACCACATGAAGTTAGGTTTAAATGGACAATAATTAAGCCGATTAAAAACAATGGAATCTATATCTTGACTATGGATTAACAGGGGCTTGATAATGAGTTTATATCTATGAATACAGGCATTATAGGTGGGTTGAAAGTTTTACACACTAACAGGGATCATTTGAAGAAAGTTAGCCAATCACAACATAGAGTGAAAATGAAGAAATCAAATATAGTGTTAAACTTGAACCAATCAGGAGCAAGCAACAAAGCCAAGATATCTGAGAAAAGAATTAAGTTATCAACAACTGTGAAAATGAGAGAAGGTGATTGGCTGAGGTCAATATGATATTGATTTTGTTCTCTCCTGATTGGCTAAAGTTCTTTAAATCTTAACTTTTGTTCAAGTTGTTCTGGTTAGTGTGTCCTCACAGTAAATAGTCAACAACAACAAACAAAAACAAAACAAAAAAATCCTGACATACTTGTGATATTTCAGTGTTGATAATAGTTTTGTATTGGTCTCCCTTTCCTGCTGCTTCCATCTCCTCTAAAAACTGTTTTCGTTCCTCAATTTCTTGAAGCACTATGAACAAAAAAGAAACCCACTTATTGTACTCATCATCATCATATCATCATATGTTGCTGTCTTGGGTGAACCACATAGCGCCAACACCAATTTCGTCCAGTGTCCTCTGTCCTGGGCTCAAATTGCCTCATCAAGCTAAGTGGTTGTATCTCCAAGACCTTGAAACACTTCACAATATATTAACAATATCAGTTTTGTTTAAAGAGGTTAACACTTGACAATAATTCAACTGATAAGCTTGTGGTCCTCTTACATGTTCAGGCCTAACCCTTTAAATACAGTAATGTATATAATTACAAAGGTAGCACCTTCTCCTCAGTTAATTTAAAACACTGAGGTTTGGTTCAGAAAACCTCCCACTGGGTGGTGGTTGTACAATCTTAAATATACACCTTGGCGTTTTGCCTATAATTAGAAAGTTTTCCAGGTGTGTCACATAAGAATAGAGAAAATATAATATAGTGCATGGATCCAGAGGGG